CTTTTTATTTCTTTTAAGCCATTCAGAGGTGGACTTGCTTGTGTGCGCTGGATCATTGTCCTGCTGCATAGCACAACTGTGCTTGAGCATTAGGTCAACAACTGACAGGTGCAACTGACATTCTCCTTCAGGATTGTCTAATAGAGAGCAGAATCTATGGTATCATCAATTATTACAAGTCGTCCAGTTGCTTCAGAAGCAAAGCAGCCCCAGACCACTACCACCACCATGTTTAACTGTTGGTATGATGTTCTTATGGTGGAATGCCCTTTTTTAGGTCAGCAGTGGTTTGTGGTGTCTTTCTTATTGTGGAATCATGCACCTTGAGGCCTGCAGTTCTTTAGATTTTTTTCTGGGTTCTTTTGTGACCTCCTGGATGAGTCAACATTGCACTCTTGGTGAGATTTTGGTAGGCCAGCCACTCCTGGGAAGATTCACAACTGTTCCAAGTTTTCTCCATTTGTGGATATTGGCTCTCACTTTGGTTCACTGGACTCTCAGAATATGAGCAATGGCATTGTAACCCTTTCCGGACTGGTAGATTTCAGTGACTTTGTTACAAATCTATATATAAATCTCTATATACCAGCTTTACACCTAATAACGTTTCAAGTGATTTCACTGTCACAGACATCTCATGCTCATCAAGACAAGGGGTAACCTGACTAATCAATTAAATCCGGTGTCCTGACATGTTTTTGCCAATTTGGCTTTGAATGTTACATTTGTTGCTGCCTTGTTTGTTTGTCTTATGTTTCTGACCAATCAAAAATAATATCCAAAGTTAATGTCTAACTTTTCCACCTTTCACGAATATTATTTTCAAGAAGGCGTTTCAGGACAGAACAAACCTGATCAATGTGAGAATCAAAGTCAGGAGAGTAGATCAGGATATCATCTATGTAGGTAATTTAAAAACTTACCTATCATGTCTTTTATGAAGGCCTGGAAAACAGATGGAGCATTCAAACGGTATTACCAAATACTCATAATGCTCTCTAGTGGTTACAGAAGCAGTCTTCCATTTGTCTCTTTCTTTAATTTAGACTAGATTATAAGCCCTCCTTTAGTTTAGTGAAAAAGATTGGCTCCTCATAATTGTTCTAACAATATAGGGATGAGAGGAAGTGGGTGAGTATATTTCTTAGTATTCTGGTTTAACCCTCTATAGTCTTTGCAGGGACGATCTTTTTTCTTAACAAAAAAGAATCCAGAAGCTACAGGGGAAGTAAAAGTTCTGATACAACCTTGTACAAGAAGTTCTTGTATGTATGTGTCCATAGTCTGTTCTTCTTCCTGAGTTAAGGACTCTGGACTTAGGAAGGGCTGACTTTTCTATTAGGTCTATGGCCCAGTCATAGGGACGATGAGGAGGTAATTTAGTAGCGTTTTTCTTGCTGAACACTTCTAGTAAATCAGAATACTCTGGGGGGATGTGAGTGAGACCTTCAGAGTTAGGAATTTCAAAGAAGGTGGACCTGACCACTAAAGTGTGTAGTATAAGGCAATTTTGCTAACAATATTCTGACCAGGCTAACAGTTTACATTCTGACCATGAAATGTGGAGGTTGTCTTTCTCTAACAATGGCAACCCTAAAATGACCAAAAACGTAATGTGTAACATCTTTCAAAGGCTAAAATTAAAGCCTGGGCTTATAAACAATCTAACATGGAAAGCAGAATCAGTAATCCAGTGAAGCAGATATCTGATAGGTGGTTTGTGGTGACATCACAGTCATGTGTTCACTTGGAGGGTTCACCAGAGAGTCAGGACTGGAGGGATGCATGACACACTTGACATCAGCAAGACTATAGAATGGGGATTAACTTTCCTAATGACTGAGTTCTAATGACATGTGAAACATTTATCATTGTTGTTCAAGGGTTACTAAGAAAGTAGTTCAGCAGGCATGACGTTACCTAACAATATCTCAGTAAAAAAATGATCTTATAATATCCTCTGTGTTTAATTTGGTCTGTGGTCAGTGATGCTGCTGGTAAGATCTGTGAATTTGAGCAACTCTGACCCTTTCAAGAGAAACAGGAACACGCCAAATTAGAGAGAAGAGGGACACAGAGAGGACCACACATTTTAAAGAAAAGTAGAGCTTAACTCTGAGGCGGACAAAAGCAAATGTTGGATGGAGTCTGTGTGAAGACCAGTGAAGCTGAGGTTCAGTTCAGGATGAAGATCCTCATCACCTTCACCCTCTACCTGATTTCAGGTCAGTTATTCTGCTTCAAATTGATCATATATTTCTACTAAAGTGTCTTGTACACAGCAAACTTGAGAATTTAGAGAATTTGTTGGAATATAATAAAATAAGAGAGAAGAGTGAGAATCTTCAATTTGATTAGCAGTGAGTGTGGAGTCGTGATATGAACCTGACAGTGAAAAGAGGGGAATCATCAGGGACAGCATCGTCCCCATCGTCACTTTTTCTTGCCACGCTCTGCTGTTCTTGCCATCCCCCTTCAATTTCAGAGTAGTGCCATTCTCTTACAGACCACTGGGGGCCACTATCCCACTTCTGACACCAGTGTGACAACAGTAGACAGTAAAACACATGGATAGCCATACTTCTGCTGAAAAAAGGGCTCTTTATTGAAGACACAGTGAGAAAGGCACATACATGACACTGAAACCACAGGGGAGGTCATACTTTACCCTCACCATGACCAACCCCCAACACAACAGCACCACCTCCCAATACTAAACAAAACAAGTAACACCTACACATAACCTAAACTAACAAACATTAAACAACATAAACAGTTCCTTTGTTGGAGGGCGCATGTATACCGTGAGCCTTAGCATGTGGCTGTCTGCATCTGTCAGTCTCTCGGAGCCTGTGCCACCCAGTAGTGGTTTGCTACTATATTTTAGAATGAAACAATGTATTCAATGTATTTTCATATGTATATAAAAAAATGTCCAAAAAAAAACATGTCCACTTGCATAATGATGCTTTAAGTGATAGAGATGTATGACCACTCTGTAAAAAATGGAAAGTTCCTTAATGTGCCAAGAGATCTTTTTGAATACATTTTGAACTAATTAATTTTATTAATATTTTTTTTAATTCAATGAAATAAAACATACAGGTCATTATTACTCAAATTCAGCTTTTACAGTCTGTCATGAGAAACCTGATGTAGACTGTAAAACTACAGTACTCACCCTGCCTTCATGCTTCAACAGAGTAGGAGAGCATCTGTACTGACCAGCCATAATACTATTATTGACAGTGGCAAGAAGTGGCCCTTATACACATGATGCAGTGCACATTCACTAATTCCTTCAATGCTAAGTTTGTGTTTCCTCTAGTTTGATATATCCATTCCTCAGTACCTCAGTTTGCAACTGAATAACATCCTAGAGTTTATCAGTATGAGATATGACCATCATCATCTTCATCATCACTTTTATTTATACAGTGCCTTTCCCATGTTCAAGGACACTTTACAATCAGAAAGTAACAAAATACATAATCAACAATAAATAAAACAACACAGAACACACACAAAGTCTTCCTCCGCAACTATGGTACATTACACAGGAGGCTGGCCCGGGAGGCCCCGAAGACCGAAAATGTCCTTAGGCACGAAGAGGTAGCATTTTCCTGCAGCCAGACACCACCAGTCCAGTCAGCCTCATAGCTGCAATGCAGCATCACCCAAGTGGCCGGCCCAAGCAGCCATGTAGCTGCCTTAGGCACCACTTAGGCAGCCGAAGTAGCAGGAACATAACTGTTATTAACACAACAGAACTTACTTCTGACATTGATTTTATCTTGATTTTATTTATTCATGAAATGTTTCTAAACTTAGAAGTTCTCTCCTAATGTCACACTGATTCTACAGCTGGACAGAGATGTGAATTCCCAGAACTGTTTTTCATATTTTTTTTTTCCTGCTGAATTATTGAATGCCTGTTGTACAGGATTTTTCTGAGAACTTCCCCAGTTTTAATCTAACCCTGCAAATAGTACTGCTGGTATTGCAGCCCGCTTGAATTAACTACAATCAATAACAGTGAACTTTTAAATGAATAATTCTACTGTGTCTCTGTTCATCTTAATTGTAACTGTGAACATAATGTAATGTGCTCTTGAAATGCTGGGCATGTTCATTTTAGTTTGTTAGTCCTAGAGTGTTCACTGAGTCTGTTCAGTAAGGACTCTTGTTGTGAGGGTGGTCTGGCTGCTGAGCTGTACAGCAGGAAGAACTGAGTCAGTCAGGGCCACAAACATAAGGAGTGCAAATGTAGCCAGAGATTCTCTCCCCGTTTTGGAGAAGGGGAAGGGCCTTAGCTTGAGATAATGCTTGAGTTTGCTGTTAGCCTAATTGCCCTGTTTGTGTACGGTGAAGCTGTGGCCAACTCAGCTGTTAATAAAGCACAATGGATGGTGCATAAGCTGAGTGTCCTTATTTCCTAGCGACTCACGAAATAGCATAATCAGATTATGAATATAGTCATCAGGTACTATTACAAACATGACAGCAGCAACAATAATCATGAACTGTAATTGTATCCCATTTAAAAATGACCAAATATTAGAAAAGTAAAAAACAATTCATGTGAAACATTTATTATTGCTCTTCAAGTGTGACTATGAAAGTGGTCCAGCAGCCATGATATTACCTAGCAGTGTCACAGCACAAACATCATCTCAGGACATCCTGTGTGTTTAATGTGGTCTGTGGTCAGTGATGCTGCTGGGAGGAGCTATGAGTTTGAGGAAAACTGACCCTTGTCAGAGAAGCAGCAACCAACCAATTTACCTCTGAGTGGAACAAAAGTGAACGTTGGTGTTTGTGAGAACATCGGTGATTTCCAGAGAAACAGAAACCATCCAAACCAGAGAAGAAGATGAGACGGAGACACACAGAGAGGACGACACATTACAGAGAAAAGTACAATTTAACTCTGAGGAGAACAAAAGTGAACATTGGTTAGTGTTTGTGTGAAGATCAGTGAAGCTGAAGTTCAGTTCAGGATGAAGATCCTCCTCATCTTCACCCTCTACCTGATCTCAGGTCAGTTATTCTACTTCAAACTGTAGATTTATACATTTGAAGTTTATTTTACAGAGGAACATAAGAATCAAATTTTGGAATGTTGAAAGCTTTCCTGCTGCAGTTGTTTTAATGCAAACTGTAGAATTTAGAGAATTTAATGTGAAATTTAATGAGATTAGATAGAAGAGTAAGAAATTTTAATTTGATTGGCAGGTCAAGTGAGCTGCTTCAATGTGACTGGCTATTCAGAAGGTAGTGTCATGATCTACTGCTATCATCCGGAGAATGGAAGGATTAACAAATATTTCTGGAAGGTGACAACAAAGAAAGATACATATGTACAAACACCAAACACATGGACTCATGAAGATAGACTTTCTCTACTTCACTATCCTGGTGTATTTGCAGTGATCTACAGAAACCTGAGTTTACAGGATTCAGGATCATATCAGTGTGGAGAGACTGGAGTGTGGAATCGCACTGTGAACCTGAAAGTGAAAAGAGGTGAGAAATACTGATATACTATGAATAAAGTCATAAAGTCATTTGTGAAAGTCTTTTATCTACTTTAGGACCTGGAGTTCATTTATTTTGTATGATTAGCAGATCCATGTTGTTTGGGGTCAAAGACTGTGTCTGGTTATCTGGGAGAGACTGTCACCATCAGCTGCTCATATCCAGAGGAGTTTGAGGAAAACGTGAAGTTCTTCTCTAAATGGACTGGAGAATATTTTACTGAGGTGATCTATATCACAGAGACTCAGAGAGGCAGATTCTCCATCTTGGATCACAGAAGATCTAAAATTCTCAGTATGAGTATCAGTGACGTGAGAGAAGATGATGGAGGAGTTTATTTCTGTGGAGCTGGGAAAGAAATGGATGCAATCCGTCATAAGTCCTTCTTTACAGAGATTCAGCTACAGCTTTCTGGTGAGATACATTAACTTTTACAACTTTTCCTGTATTCAGTGTTTATTGGTGTTGGGTGGAGATAAGTTGTCTGATGCTAAGCTAGTTTGTAAACCATTAAAATGTCAAAAATATTTTATATAATTAAAATATAATTGTTTCTTTTGTTTATTATTATTATAATTTGTTTCATGTTTGACATTTTTTTGACTGATGTCAGGGCCCCCCCATGTGACCAGAAATGGAATAAAAATACTGCTATTCATTTGTGCTGGATTTGCCATAGGAATTATCATTTGTACTGGTTCCATTTTTGAGTGATGTCACTCATTGAAACATTATGGCTTTAGAACTTGAGAATTAAAAGAGTATATATGTAGCCGGTCCGATCTGCATTGGGTTATGTGAGGAGGACACAGTCACCCTTACTCTGCGTTGCGTTGTGTTGTGTTGTGTTGAAGAAAAATACTCAGGAGGCTTGGATGTTGGTACCAGACTGATATAACAACAAAATATTTTAGATTAATTAATTACACTGGTACTATCTTGTCCACTGACAATTCAGGTTTTTCTCATATAACACATGAAAAAGGAAGACAGAATAAGAATAAAATAAAAGACAAAGAAATAGAAAAATACCAGACCAATAATCACTCTTGCAATGTGTATAGTATTAACTATGTTATAAAAAAATGAACATGAATGAATGTTGCTACTATCATACATTTTTATTTATAAAAATAGTAAGCATGTACATACACACACGCATATATAAACAAACATGCATATATCATTTCGCTACATGCTCGGAATATAATAAAAGGACACATGAACTTATATAATATTACTCATTGGCCATATAACTTATCCAAAGATACCATTCTGAGATTAGCTCCCTGTTGTTTCCAGCAATTTACATATATTTTTCATACGAAACGCCTCCAAAACACAAGAGCAGATGAATGAAACTGAAGCTTTTTAACAACAGAAGCCACTAAGATCATACCTGGATGTATAAGACAGAAAAATAGTGAGAAATAGCTCCCAGCCTCGTGTCTGCTTGCATTAGCCTCTCTGCGCACCCAGAAAATCACAGGAAAGGTGGGGGAGGGGTTAGCTTCTCATATTACAGGCAGCTATAGCATGCTAATTCTCCTCACTCTTTTACTCGGTAATAGTAAGTAGTAAGTAAGTAAAGTTTATTTATATAGCGCTTTTTACAACAGGTGTTGTCACAAAGCAGCTTTACAAGGAAATGAGCATTACAGAAAGAAATCCAGGTCCGAGCCCCCATGAGCGTCGCCAGTGGCGACAGTGGCAAGGAAAAACTCCCTAAGAGAAACAGGAAGAAACCTTGAGAGGAACCAGGACTCAGAAGGGGAACCCATCCTCCTCTGGTCGACACCGGATAGTAAACATTGGTAGTATAAAGTATTATAGTACAAAAACAGGGTAAAAGGTGGAGCAAACAATTAATTTGAATAGTTTAGTTCATGCAGCAGCAGCAGCAGCGCAGCAGCATCAGTGGGGTCAGGTTGTGGGGGTGAGGTTTGCACGGCGAGCAGTGGCACGGCCGATCAAGGCAGAAGAGGCAGCAGCATCAGAACGCACAGGATGGGCAGCTGTTCAACTCGGCAAAGGAAAGAGAGGAAAAACACAGTCAGTTCTACAATGGGTGATTGATTAATTTGAATTAGTTTAAATGATTCATTGGTTCAAGTGAATAATTTTGATTAGTTCATGTAGCAACAGCAGTAGTATCAGTGGGGTCAGGTTGTGAGGGTGAGGTTTGCACGGCGTTGTACAGCAGGAGGCTCAATGTTGGTAAGCCGGTCCAGAGGGCTGGCGAGCAGTGGCACCCGATCAAGGCAGAAAAGGCAGAATTAAAAGAGAACGCACAGGATGGGTAGCTTGTTAAACTTGGTGAAGAAAAGAAAGGAAAACACACAGAGAGGAAAACACACAGATAGTCAGTTCTGTAATGGGTGACCGATCACAAATTACAGTGTTAGCAGAGACTCTGGCAGGTATAGAACTGACAGGGGAAACGAATTACCAAAGGCTTGACTATACAAGTACGTTTTTAGCTTAGACTTGAACACTGAGGCTGTGTCTGAGTCCCGAACATTAACAGGAAGACTATTCCAAAGCAGGGGGGCTTTGTATGAGTAAGCTCTCCCCCCCTGACGTAACTTTATTAATTCTGGGTACTAATAGTAAGCCAGCACCTTGTGATCTAAGTAGGCAGGATAGTTCATAGTGAGAGAGAAGTTCATTCAGGTACAGAGGGGCGAGTCCGTTTAGAGCTTTATAAGTCAGTAAGAGAATTTTATAATCAATCCGAAATTTAACTGGCAACCAGTGTAAGGTTGATAAAACTGGGCTCATATGGTCGAACTGTCTGGTTCTTGTAAGGACTCTGGCTGCAGCGTTCTGGACCAACTGAAGCTTGTTAAGGCTTTTGCTGGGACATCCAGCCAGCAGGGCATTACAGTAATCTAGCCTTGAAGTAATAAATGCATGAACTAACTTTTCTGCATCCTGTAGAGACAATGCATTTCTCAATTTAGCAATATTGCGGAGATGCAGGAAGGCTGTTCTAGTAATATTAGTTAGATGTGCGTCAAAGGACAGATCAGGGTCTATAATGACACCAAGGTTTTTACAGATAAAGCTTGATGCAACTGAGAAATTGTTAAGTTTAAGTGTTAAATTAGACAGTTTGTTTCTAGCTGCTTTTGGACCATGAAGCAGAACCTCTGTTTTATCCGAGTTTAGAAGGAGAAAGTTACTCGACATCCAGTCCTTTATGTCCTTTATACAGTCTTCAATCTTGCTAAGTGTAATTCTATCATCTGGGTCGCTTGCTAAATATAACTGAGTGTCATCGGCATAGCAGTGGAAGTTTATGTCGTGTTTACTGATAATGGTGCCTAGTGGTAGCATATATAATGTGAATAATACAGGTCCTAAAACAGAGCCTTGTGGAACACCATACTTTACTTTTGTGAGAACAGATGATTCACTGTTTATATTAACAAACTGATACCGATCAGTGAGGTAGGACCTGAACCAGGAAAGAGCTATTCCTGTTACCCCTACAAGGTTTTCTAGTCTGTCTAGTAAGATAGTGTGGTCTATTGTGTCAAATGCCGCACTAAGATCGAGGAGGACTAACAAGGACACATGATCTTGGTCAGAAAATAATAATAGATCATTTACAATTTTTTACTAGTGCTGTTTCTGTACTATGATGTGGCCTAAAACCAGATTGAAATTTTTCGTGTATTTGATTCCTATGCAAATAGGAGCTTAATTGTTTTGCTACAACTTTTTCCAAGATCTTTGATATAAAGGGGAGATTCGAGATCTATAATTGGATCTATAATTTGATAGTTCGCATGGGTCGAGGTTCGCTTTCTTAATCACTTAATCTAATTACTGCTAGTTTAAGAGATTTTGGGATGTACCCAAGGCTAAGAGAAGAGTTTATTATTGACAGAATAGGCTTGGTTATTTCTGGCAAAATTTCCTTGAGTAAACCTGTAGGAATCGGATCTAACATACAAGTAGATGATTTTGCGGAAGAGACTATTTTAACTAGTTCATTTTCTTGGAGTAAGGTAAATGATTCCAGCCTCTTTGCAGGGATTATAATATTTTCAAGGTTGAGACTGGCATTAAGGGGAAGCAGGTTTGTAGAGTTTAATTGTGTATTCTGAATTTTCTGCCTCATTTTTTCAATTTTATCACTAAAGAAGTTCATAAAATCGTTGCTGCTAGAGGCTGGTGGCATCTGGGGTTCACTAACTGTTTTGTTCTCGGTTATTTTGGAGATTGTGCTGAAAAGTAATCTAGGATTATTCTTATTGTTTTCTATGAGAGAGGAGAGATAGGCTGAGCGTGCTGTAGCAAGTGCTCTTCTATAGTCTATAAGGTTCTCCTTCCAGGCCTTACTATTTTACTTTTTAATGGAGCCACACTATCTAGAGTAGATCGAAAATTATCCTCTAAGAGCTTGGTCATAGTATCTAACTCAGTAAGATTAGATGGACAGCTGACAGAAGCTGATAATTTTGGAAGGTTTCTAATAAAGCTACCAGCTGTGGAAGGAGTTATCGTCCGCTTGACACAATGACATGGTGATGAACGCATATTACCACTAAAGTGAATTTCGTAAGAGATTAAGTAATGGTCAGAGACTGCTGTGCTCTGGGGGAGAACGGCTAAGTTATCTATGTCTACACCAAAGGTCAGTATTAAGTCTAGAGTGTGGTTGTGGTAGTGTGTGGGCCCCTTTATGATTTGGGTGAAACCTATGGAGTCTATAACAGATGTAAATGCCTTGCTTAGTGCATCTTGAGGATTGTCAAAGTGGATATTAAAATCTCTGACAACTTATTTTATTTGAAAGCGTTTTTAGACTTGACAGAAACTCAGAGAATTCCTGTAAGAACTGAGAATACGGCCCTGGTGGCCTGTAGACTGTAATTAGTGCAACTGAATTTTATTTGTTCCTTGATCACTTATATTAAGAAAAAGAACTTCAAAAGAAGAGAATGTATAGCCTGCTCACGCCTAAAGCTTTAGTATGGATGATTGCTATACCTCCACCTCGGCCACTTAAACGAGGGCTATGTGCATAGCTGTAGCCTGGGGGTGTGGCTTCATTTAAACTGAAGTATTCATCGGGTCTAATCCACGTTTCTGTGAGGAAATACTCAAAATCTATGTATAAAACATCCAGATAAAGATCCCTAATTCTATTTCGCTTCATATTAAACCAGTATTATAACTTTTTACACTATATTAAACATTTGATGACCACTTTATAGCTCAGAGCTGAAGCTACACCAACCTCTCTCCAGCAGTGCTTTAGCCAGACTGAAGAGAGTGTGTGACGCACAAGAGGACATCACCGCGTCACCCACAAAAATATATAAAATAAAAAAAAATGAAAATAAAAAATAAATATACTCCAATTTTTTTACTCTATTATTTAAATAAATGCAAACAGAGAAAGTATGAAGATTTTGAGGGAAATGTAATGAAAGACAAATAAAACCTGTTACATATACATTTCT